GGCCTGCCCTCTGCCACCTGGGAGCAGGCCTAAGCCAGCAGGTTGTTATCTCCCGAGGGGTCCCAGACTGCAAGAGAGCACAGGCCGGGCTGAGAGACCCCCCTTCCCCCCGAGTGCACAAATTTTTGTGCACCAGGCCTCTAGTCATTACATAAAAGGGTATGGTCTTTTTTTTTGTTTTATTCATTTCAAATGGGCCGGATCCGGCCCGCGGGCCGTAGTTTGCCCACAGCTGTCCTAAACTATCAGAGCCAATTATGGTGCCCAGATTGAACAAATCATGATCAGCAGATCCCCCAGAGAAAATGTTTTAATTAGGATTATTTTTCCTTCTGGATATTCAAAATAAACCTTTATATATGGCTTATATGGTCAGAATCTTTTAGTATACTGGTCACGTTCTTTGCTACATTTTGTCCTATTTCTTTTCCCCGTTGCCCAAAGATACCCTCGTCTGCTTTCTGCTCGATTCTTCACTTCTCAATCCCTGACCATTCCTTGTCTGCACAGCAATTTGTTCCCTGGAGACTGAAGTTCCAAATAAGACTCCAACATTCCCTAAGCAGGCCAACCGTCTTTATTCTATGTCGTCACCTCAAGCTAATCAATCCCTCATCCACTGAAATGTCCTGTTGCAACACAGCTACAATTCTGCCGATTTTTTGCCTATACTTCAAAGCCCAGTCAAATCTGCCAAAAGAACGGTCCCTCCTCTGATCCAGGTGGCAGTGATTGTCTATTCTATTCATTAAACACCCAATTCTATGCTAACCAACATAATTTATTATTTTTTAAATAACTGATCCTTGTATGTAAATATGCCATATTTCTTTATCTTGCTCTTTTCAATTTCTTGAAAATAAGAATTGGGTTTTATGTTACTTTGTATTTCCTGGTGGCCCTTGGCATTTCATGTGCACTTATTACTGCAAGTAAATGTCTCCAGGATAAATGAATGTGCATGACCACTTAGAACCCAGGAACCAGTTACAGCAAGGCTTGGAAGTACATCCAGGTTAGATGTAACAGGCAACTCAGAGCTTCTGCCATCTCTATTACTATAAAAGTATAGTAATGTCAGGAATTGGTTAAATAAGCACATATATACATTAGAAGAAAAGCTTCAGCTAAATATCTGTATCTGAATCATGAGAGCAGAAAATATGTAGAAATAGTGAATAGAGTAAGAAAAGAGAGATAATTTAAGGAACACAAGTATTTAAGGAGCATGAATATTTAAGTCTATGAAGAGTATAACTTGTTTCTATATAGATTTGCCTATTTGGAACATTTTATATAAATTGAATCATACATGTGGTCTTTTGTGACTGGCCTCTTTCATTTAGCATGTTTTCAAGGTTCATCACATTGTAACATTTATTAGTATTTCATTTCTTTTTATTGACAACTAGAAGCCCAATGCACGAAATTCACGCAAGGGTAGGCCCTCACGGCCCCACTGCCTTGGCCCTCGCAGCCCTGGCTGTCATTCCAGAAGGTCGTTCTACCATCCGGTCTAATGAGCATATTAGCTCTTGATTATATAGGATTGCACGAAGAGACCACATTTTGTTATCCACTCATCAGTTCATGGGCATTCTGGTTGTTTACATTTTTGGCTATTATGAATGTTTCTATGGACATCTGTGTACAAGTTTTCATGTGGATATAGGCCTTCATTTCTTAGGTATATACTTGGGAGTGGATATAATGCATAATGTGGTAACTATGTTTAACCATTTGAGGAACCACCACACTTTTTCCAAAGTGGCTACCCAATTTTATATCCCTACCAGAAGGTTAGAAGGGTTCCAAATCCTCCACATCCTCACCAACACTTGTTATTATCTGTCTTTTTTATTTAGCCATCCTATCAGGTGGGAAGTGGAATCTCATCGTGGTTTTGATTTTTTCTGATAATGATGAGAATTTTTTCATGTGTTTATTGGCCATTTATATATTTTCTTTGGAGAAATGTCTATGCAGATATTTTACCGGCTTTTGAGTTGTCTTATTATTATTGAGCTAAGAGTTCTTTATACAAGCCCCTCCTAATATAAATCCTTTATCATACTTATGATTTGCAAACATTTTCTATTTTGTGGGTTCTCTTTTCTTTTGTTGTTAGTCCCAACCTGAGGATATTTTTCCCACTGATTTTTTCAGAGAGTGAAGGGAGGGGGGTGGAGAAAGTGAGGGAGAGAGAGATCGAGAGAGAGAGAGACTGGGTGCCTCTTGCATGCACCCTGACCAGCACTGATAATGTAACCTGAGACCCTTTGGTGTTCAGGCTGATGCCCTAACAATTGAGCAACACAGCCAGGCCTATCTCTTCATTTTCTTAATGGTGCCCTCAGAAACACAAAGTTTTTATGAAGTTTATTTTTCCTTGTCTGAGGTTTTGGTGCCATATCAAAGAAATCATTTCCTAATTCAAAGTCACAAAGATTTATGTTTGTTTTCATCTAATTACAGCTTTAGCTTTCATATTTAGTTTTTGATCCATTTGAGTTATCTATCCTATCTAATAAAAGACAAAAAGGGTAATTAACCGTACCTCCACTATGCTTCCCATTGGCTAATCAGGGTGATATGCAAATTAACTGCCAACAAAGATGGTGGCCGGCAGCCACGCAGCTGAAGAGAGCAGGAGGCTTGCTTGCTCCAGTGATGGAGGAAGCCAAGGTTCACCCCTGCCACGGCCTGGCTGTCAGCTCCACTCAAAGCAACAAAGTTGCAATTATAGAAGGTAAATAAACCCCAGATACCTGCTTTCAACCGGCCGTGGCCATGGAACTGGAGCGAGCAGGAGCCAGCTCTCAGCTCCACTAAAGGCTACAAAGTTTCAATTATAGAAGGTAAATAAATCCCAGAATAAAAATGAAAAAAGAACAAAAGGAGAGGCTGGGAGCTTCCGTCGCCCATGGGCTTGGCCAGCCTGAAAATGGCCCTCAGCCCCTCACCCAGACTGGCCAGGCACCCCAGTGGGAACCCCCCACCCTGAAGGGGGTGAGGCCAGCCTGAAAACAGCCATCAGCCCCTGACCCAGGCTGGCCAAACCTCCATGGAGTGAGGGTCCCCACTGGGGGGGGGTGCTTGAGCAGCCTGAAAACAGCCATCAGCTTAGGCAAATACCCCGGGGAGCAGGCCTTAGCCAGCAGGTGGTCATTCCCTGAGGGGTCCCAGAGTGCGTGAGGGCACAGGCCGGGCTGAGGGACCACCCCCGCAGTGGAAAAATTTTTGTGCATCAGGCCTCTGGTATGTATATATAAGCCCAAGCAACCCAAACAACTGATCGCTATGACGCACACTGACCACAGGAGCTGCCCCCAGCCCACAGCCGCCAGTTACCGATGGGACCTGCCAGCCAAAATCCTGGTTCCCCCCCGCCCTACCCCCGGCAGGCAGGTCCTGATCATCTGATCAGGGCCGGGACAGGGAACTGGGGGTGGGTGGCAAGGGAAGGAGGAGGCAGGGAGGTAGGGAGGCGGGGAACCTGATTGGCCCTGATCTCCAGCCAGGCCTAGGGACCCCACCTGTTCATGAATTTCATGCACCAGGCCTCTAGTTGTATACTGTAAGAGGTAGGGGTCAAACTTCATTCTTTTGCATGTGGCTACCCAGTTGTACCAGTAGTATTGGTTGAATTACTCTTGTTTCCCCCTGAGTTGTCTTGGCACTCTGGTTGAAAATCAATTGAACATAAATGTGAGAGTATATTTCTGGACCCTCAATTCTATCCTACTGATTAATATATATGTCTACCTTTATGCGATGACAACAAATTCTTCATTACTGTAGCTTTCTAGTAAATTTTCAAATCAGATTTAAGGGCAATTCCTCTCATTTCTCTTTTTAAAGATAGCTTTGCCTATTCTGTCCCATAAATTTCCATATGAATTTTAGAATCAGCTTGGCAGTTTCTGCAAAGAAATCAGCTGGAACTGATGGGGACTGCACTAAATCTGTAAATTAGTTTGCCATCTTAATATCAAGTCTTCTAATCATAACATGGAATGTCTTTCCATTTATTTAAGTTTCTAAAATTTTCCATTCAACAATACTTTTGCAGTTTTTAGAGTATAAATTCTTTACTTTTGTTAAATTTATTACAAAGCACTTTATTGTTTTTAGTGCTGTTGTACATAGAATTTTCTTAACTTCATTTAGTATTATTCACTAAAGATATATAGACCCACAATCGATGTTTGTATATTGATCTTAAATCCTGCAACTTTGGTGAACTCATTTATCAGTTCTAGTAGTTTTTAGTGGATTCCTTAAGATCTTGTACACGCAAAATCTTGTCATCTGCAAATACTGACAGCTTTATTTTTTCCTGTCCAATCTAATTGCCTCTAGACCAGTGGTTCTCAACCTTCCTGATGCCATGACCCTTTAATACAGTTCCTCATGTTGTGGTGACCCCCAATTTCATTGTTACAAATTGAACATAATTAAAGCATAGTGATTAATCACAAAAACAATATGTAATTATATATGTGTTTTCCGATGTCTTAGGCGACCCCTGTGAAAGGGTCGTTTGACCTGCAAAGGGGTCGCGACACACAGGTTGAGAACCACTGCTCTAGACCAAGCATGTCAAAATCGCAGCCGGTGGTCGCAGTGGTCGCAAGTTTGACATGCTTGCTCTTGATTTTTTGAGTGATAAATGAATAAACAACTTAATATTTGGAGAGGTTGAACTCAATTATTATATAGATTCATTTTTAAAATAAAAGTAAGGAAAAGAAAAAAGTGCTATAGAAGAAAAAGAAAACAGAAAAAAATGCCACCAAACTAGGAGGCAAGAAATCTAATCCCCACATCATTATTAATTAGCTGTGTGATCCTCAGCAAGTTTCTAATTCTCTTCTGATTATATATTCTATTTTTCAAATCTTTTCTCCATTTGGCAAACCTGTTAACTTCTGGGGATATATAAAGAGGTAGCTTTCCTTAGTTTATTCAGCATTACAACCATTATTTTTTCTATATATATATCAATCATCTTCCTCCTTTTCCATTTTCCCCTCAGAAAAGAGAATAAAGTTACCAAAGCAAAAGAGCATACTAAAAGTATCTTCACATGGAGAGAAATATAACTCTCCAAAAAGGCACAATAGAAGACATTGAGAGATTTTAGGCAATTATAAAGAATTATCTTCTTGAGAACAAGCTGAAATATAAACACTATAGAGGCTTGTGCAAGACATGGGTAAAAATGAGCAAAAAGATGAAGCCTTTACTCTGCCAAGTACTGTATTAACACTTTAAAGCTATGACTAAAGAATAGTCAATAAAGATATAAAATATGGCAAGAATAAGTTTTAAAAATATACATTATCTAGTTTTACCACAAAGATTATGTTTTAAAATAAAAGTTTTAGGTAACTTTTAAAAATTATAATTTTGATTAAAATGGCAAAAGTATCTCCTGACATATAAACTACATTACATTTTTCTGCCAAACATTAATTAGACACCTTCCTTCTGCCTCTGCTAATGCTGATGATACCAGAATATTAACTAACACTTAAACATTTTTAATTTCAAGTGTTTTGGAACCTCAGTTTTAATCTCTGACATAAAGGAAGAGGACTATCCAAATAAGTACCAGAGTCATCTTTTTCCTTATGACACTGTAGGGAACTCAGAGAAACTTTGGCTGTATCTGCGAAACAGTTTTCTTCATTTACAGCTGTTTTAGAAGTCTGGACATACTGTTCCGTTTCTTTAATATGTATCTTAGGGTTACTCAATTTGTTAGCATCATTTTTCTTGAATTGGGCTGGTTTGTGCTTCTGAAAACTCTGCTTCATTTTCTCAGTTGCATTCATAGCTTTCCCAAACACTGGGGCACTTTCTTCATCAGAGGAATATCTGTCAAGGCAAACACTTTTCTTCATTATAATTTTCTGAGTGGTTTGCAAGTCAACATTTCTACTATGATCTAAAGAAGTATTTGGTGGCTCGACTCTAGCATCAGAGGCCTTTACTATCATGTTTTTGACAGAATAGGGTATAGAAGTATTCACTTTATAGTTTTCTGGAAACAGCTGGTCTCCTTTTAGAACTTTAGAGTTCCTAGATTCCTTTTGCAAATAAATTCCTAGATCCTCTGAAAGATGTGATGGACAATCAGAACTACTGCTAGCCTTACAAGATTCTTTTACTGTGCGTCCAGATAAAGTTTTCAGGTCTGACTGTACGTTACCCAGAGGATGTAATGATTTTATAAGTATTCGTTCCTTTAAAGGCAGATCCTGACTATGTAAGTCAGTAATGCCAGAAAGTAGATGCTCTTCAGGATTAGTCTTTTGAAGATCCCAACTGAACACTTTATTTGTGGTGCACCATTCTGAGTCACATGACAACTGTCCTGGGATATGTTTATAGCTATGAGGGATGGCTGTTTCAAGTCCTGATTTTAAGCCTTGAGAGCAAGTATTCCTTGGAATAGCTGGAGAATTACTAAAAGAAGTTCCCTCCCAATCAATGCTGCTCAAGTGTAGATCAGCAATCGTCGACACATTATCGGATGAGATATTTGGTTGACTAGATTCTGAAATTGGAGATTTACTGACAGCTGTAATTTGCTGTGAAGCCAAAGGTTTTGAAGAAGACATTAACTGTTCTTGAGTATTCATACAGAGAGCATCTTCAGATAAAAGCAAGCTCTTCAATGACGCAGAAATAGATTCCTGGGGTAATGCCGAATCAGGAAAAATTTCCAAATTTAACTGGGAATTCTGTTTAGAAGAGATTTCACATGTGGGTTTTAAAGGTATGAGTGACTGAAAACTCATCTCATCTGTTTGTGGCAAATTATTTTCTTTAGGCTTAGTTTTCATGCCTGAAAAGAAAAATACAATATAATTAAAACCTGTTTTATTTGACTTAACTTGAATGAACAAATAAACTAAACAGTTCAGACTGAAAACTATATAAGCAATTTTTGCATTTTTGTCCCAGTGCATTCCTAGAAACTGTGTTGTAAGTAATTATAACAAAATAATTAAAAAAGATATATGCATCCTTATGTTCATAGCTGCACAATTTACCATTGGGAAGATCTGGAAACAGCCTAAGTGCCTATCAGCAGATGAATGGATTAGAAAACTATGGTACATCTACACAATGGAATACTATGCTGTTGTAAAAAAGAAGGAACTCTTACCATTTCCAACAGCATGGATGGAACTGGGGAGCATTATGCTAAGTGAAATAAGCCAGTCAATGAAAGAAAAATACCA